CACCACATTTGCTTATTCACCCGCTTTGTCTTCAGCGGTTGTGTCGGGAAGGTGAGCATCATAGAATGCCAATTTAATAGAAGAAAGTATTCTTGTGAGCAAATGCATTTTGGGTTTCCACTGTCATCCATACCCTTGTGCTCACCAGAATCTTACAATTTATGCTACTTCAAATTTGGATTATAAAATTTACAGTCCTTGGATCACGGATGTTGGTGTGCTTCTTCCATGTGGGTTTAGTTGCCATGTCACTTCGATGGTTGCTTGTTTGAAAATAAGTCTTTAAGGGCAAGGTGCTAATCACCCCAAGGGGGGGCTCTTGTTTATGTCTCCACGGGAAAGGCAGTGCGAGAGTAGACCTCATCGCTGGATGGCAACTCCTGAGGGTGAGGTACTTGCTTGTTCCCAGAGCTGACTGCAGAGCCAGCCACTGTTCCAGAGGGGGCACCCTCTCCCTAAATGACAGGGCTGCTAAGGACAGTCATGAAGACACAGTTCAAGGAGAGAGGGCGGCCTCACCCTCCCACCCCGGGGCAAAACATGAGAGGAATACAACTGATCAGTGAAGGGAGCTAAGATACGAAGTCTCCCGGAAGAATCCTGATCGTAGACTTCTGACTTGGGGGGCAGCACTTGGCACCCCATCTAAACTGGTTGAGGATTGCTCACAAGTGGTCTAATGACATAATTGGGTGTGGGTATGGGTCACTAGAATGCTCCATTGTTGACCTCGGCAATAGCAACATGCTCTTATAGGATGCTCGCCTTTTGAACACTATGGACAAAGACTGAAAGGATGTATGTGTTGTTGGACAAGTGGGATCCAGGACAGGAAAACTTGAAAGAACTGGGGTCAGGAGGGATGCTTTATAACATGTCCTCCTCTGTATATAACACAGAGACATTCATCTGCTCTATGTCATAATCCCTGTTAGACTTGTGACTATCTATATATTTTTGTTTGTTTGCTTGGTGTTTATCAATCCAAGATAGGCAGACTAGGCAATCTTACAGAGACAGCGCCTGGACTGATGGGCCTAGGGTGTCATGGGAGGTGAGGAGGAGAAGGGGCGGTGAGCAGGGAGCAACAATGATGGGTACTGGGGAATAATAAGTAGCCTAAAATTGGCGACAAGGAGGGTGTACCTTTTCTGATCGTGTTTGTTCAATCAGTTTGTATCTGGGAGGATTTACTGAGAGGTGAATGATAGGTGATCATAATAGTGGGGTAGAAGGAAAAAATATATGTATGTATGTATGTATATATTTAAATTTTTATGTGTTTGTTTATATATGTATTATATATGCACGTGCAACAAGGAAGCAGATGGACTTTGGGGTCCTGCTTAAACCTTGCCTCAGTTCACGATGGCTTGTTCTAACAATGTGGCATTACATGATATTCATCCTTGTGACAATTGCTGAAGATAGTATGTGTGCATAAGCAAATGTGGTGAAGAAAGATGATGGTGCCCAGCTATCAAAAGATGTAGCATTTTCTATATGGGGTCATAAAACTTGTAGTTAAACCAACTGTTGTTTATCAGGGAAACAACAAAGCCTACATGTGTGGGGGAAAGGCCAGCCCCCCACAACTAATCACGGGTTCGATAGGCACAATTGTACAGTTGAGATATATAAAGATTACAATAAAGTCATAGAGCATGAGAGAGATAGGAGAGAGGGTAAAATAAAGAAATCAGACATATTTCATAGTAGCATGCTCACCACCTGGATGGCCATGATCTTCTTACCAGCCAGGTCCATGCACAGGGCTAGAAGTGGGGTGGAGACTTCCATTTATTGCTAACCAAGGCTTATATCTACTTAGGAGGGGTATGATTACAGGTAACCACACATCACAGGAAGGGGCAGTACAATAGGCATACACATCATAGGAAGGGGATGTACAATAGGCATAAGTGTGACAGGAAGGGGATGAGCTACGGGTGTGCACCTGATAGGAAGGGGTGGAACTAGAGGTCACATGTGATAAGATGGGCAGACCCTGGATTCATGATGGTGGCCTAACCTTGGCCACCCTTGAGTGGGCTTGACCTCCCTGGGCTCTCCTTCAGGGAAATAACCTACTACTATCCTTATTGGAATGAAGTGGGGCCTACTTGTTGTGGGATTAAACAGTGGTGTCTGCTTGCTCTGGATGGCTGATAACCCTTATGGAGAATAACCCCTCACTTACTTCTGTTGACTTCCAAGTGTATAGTCATTTTCTACGTGTAGCAAGCAGCTAAGTTTGGCATATATTTGGGGGAGACAACTTGGGAGAAATCTTTCTGTTTCCCACACACATAGAAGAAGCAAACAAGATTGTGTGATCATGTGTTGTCAACAGCCAGAGGTACCAGAAGTCCAAAAGCACAGCCAAATGAATGTGAAGGGGCATGAGTATAGTGGAGACCCAAAACCTTCCTGTAAGATAATTGGGCAGTCCCTCTCAGAAGGGCCACATGGAATGGATGATAAATTCAGGGTGCAGTATGGGACTGATAAACCATATAACTATCCTCTAGTTCATTAATATTTCCTCCCTTCACTATTATGGCTTTTATTTGTTGTACCCCATTGATCTAGTTTGATTTGCATATATTCATTTGGACATTTAATATTATGTGGTACATGAAAGTCAAGAAAAGATGACCCTTCAGAAACAGTTACAGGAGTAATGATTCCTTGAAGGGAAGGGAGTGGGGGGAGAGGGTAAAT